TTCCATTCTCTAATTATAATTTTTATTAAATCTACTATCTACTATTTACTATACTAATAAGAGCCCAAGAGAGTTAGGCCTATAATGGGTAGAAAAAATGGTGGTCACAGATTTTAATCAAATGAATGGCTCAGATTGATTGAAAGATTGATCAGATTTAAATTTTACACTAAAATTTCCTAAAATACCCACACACCGTTACTAATTCCGTTAAAATTTTAAGAATTGTCGTTAGTTCACCGTTAACTTATTCATTGATTTCAATAGAAAAAGGTCTTAGGTTCGAATCTCATCCCAATCAAAGTTGGCATAATTAGTACTCTATTTTACTCTTATTAAATTATATAAATAATAATTTAGTAGTTACAACAAAAAATAATACATATGCATTTCTTTAATTTATAATTATGTGTCCACAATGTCTTTATTCAAAAAAAAAAAATTTCATTATCAATAAATTAACTAAGAGAAATAATTTTATTAGTTATATTGTCTTTATTTTTCTTCAATATAAAACTTTTTTATATTCAAATTTATTAATTGATTATATTCGCTATATTATCCTTACAATGTCTTTATTCAGTGAAAAAAAAATTATTAATTATCAATAAATTAATTAAAAGAAATATTTTCATTAGTTATATTGTCTTTATTTTTCTCAAATGTAAAAATTTTTACATTCAAATTCATCAATTGATTATATTCACTATATTATCTATTATCTTTTTTCTGCACTATTTTTCTAATTAAATATCAAAGTTATAATACAAAATAATGCTATATATTTATTTACCAAGTATTTTATTAATACCATGAAAAAATTAAAAAAATATAATTAATAAAGCCAACCATATTAACTACTTGAGAGATTTTGTGACAAAGAGAGTATTCAAATCACACAACAAATTGAAGTGAGAACTACCTCGCAATGTCCTTGTTTGACAATCAGCAGTTAGGGGTTAGCGTTAGCGGATTATACTAGCGGATTTGACCAGCGAATTTATTTAATTATTAACATTGGGTAGAAAAAATGACCGCCAAATTATTAAATCAAATGAATGGTTCATATTGTTCAGGTTTTAACTTTTTTCTTTTAAGATTTTCTAATTTATCCTTAATTATATGATTATCCATTTAATTTTTCCGTTAATTCACCGTTAGTCTAATTCTAATATTAAAGTCTAATATAGAATTATAACTACACCATTAATCTAATTCTAATATTAAAGTCTTAATAGAACTTAACCACAAATCCTAATGTCGGAATCTCCTCAAACAATATTAGTATATATTTAATATTTTATGCCATAATTTTTATTTGTTCTCCCTTATGTCCCGTATTTGGTTTCAACCATACCTATACAATTATTTTATTCACAATTATAATCAATCTTGACTATATTATCTTGCATTTGTAAACTTAGAATTACCTATTTAACCCGCACCGGCTTAGCTCAATGGTTTTGAACCTCGGCGGCGGCAGTGCGGGAATTATGTCCAAAGTGGGCAGATTCCTTGTCCACAATGCTCTGTCGGGTCGGAGTGTGGGGGGCCCTTGGGGTTGGAGACTCAACCTTCAATTATCTATGCATGAACAATTTCAATATAATCCTGCCTTAATATACTAAGCACTTATTTAAAAAAAACATTGGGCATTATCCCAATCGCGCAATGCGCGTAAAAAACTAGCATATGTATAAAAATCAATCCATTTATGTGACTCCTTAATATTGCAATTTGTAGTAAGTTGATATTTGAAATTAATATATACATACATATATATATACACACACACAGAGAAAAATAGCTACATTAGAAGTGATAAAATTTGTGTGACTTGTTAGGGGTGTGAAACATTTTTTTCTAAAATTAAGTGCGCAATAATCTAACTAACCAAACCTGAATGAACGGTTATCTCAACATTCATTTTTTATAGAAAAAAAAAATTCACTTTTGGTCCCTTGACTATTGTATATGCACAAAATTTGGTCCATGACTATTAATATTTCAAAGAGTTAATTCCAGCAATAGTCCTCCGACTATTGTGATTTTCCAAATTTGGTCCTCGTCTTTTAATTTGGACGAAATAAGCCCTTGGCTATCAGAATTACCATTGGTCCTTCCGTTAACCAAGAGTTAAATAGACGTTAGTGAAGGGCTAAAATGGTCATTTTCTTTGTTGGGTTTCTTCTTCCTGATCTTGGTGAGTATATTGTTTAATAACACGCCGGTCGGAGAGGCAAGATCCACTGGATGTGTGCTATTGAAGAAGAGCTGCCAGAGCGGGGCAAATTGGAGGTCTGTGTTTGTCAGAAACCAAATTCTCTAGGCTGGTGAGCTTAAAAACCTGAAGGCGTTACACTTAGACAGGAACAAACTCACCAGAATTTTTCGAGAAATTCCCCACGGCACCAAATCTTTATCTCTCCCACAACCAACTCACCGGCATGCTGCCGGAGTCTTTCACCAAACTTGATTTCGTCAGGATAGAATTGTCCCGGAATAAGCTGGAAGACGACACGTCCAAAGCAAGACTGCTCTGATTATCGATCTGTCGTGAAACGCGTTCCAGTTCGAATCTCCAAGGTGAAGCGGTTTTCTGACATCTTAATCTGGTTGGATCTGAACCATAGCAAGATCGCCGGAGCACTGCCGGCGGCACTGACGAAGATAGAAAACTTGTGGCTGTTCAGTGAGTTATAACAGGCTTTCCCAGCGACGTATTGTTTTATATGTTTTATATTTGGTAAAAAAAAAGGGTCACCGGAAAATTCATAACGTATTGTTCATAAGTAGTGTTGCATAGTTGAGTTTTTCATTACAAATGGGTTTACTAGTATTCAAAATTTTGAATATTGATGAATGGGTATGAAATTGTTGAATCATTTGGTATTGGTATCACATATGGGATGAATATTTATGGGAGAGAATGGAGAAGGAGTAGGAAAATGAAGATGATGAAGACACACAGTGACACAGGCTACGATTCCTACGAAATGAATAGGGAAATGAAGATGATGAAGACACACAGTGACAGGCTACGAAAAGAATAGGGAAATGAAGATGATGAAGACACATAGGCTAGGAAAAGACAAGGATACCCCTAATTTTGACCATAAAATTAACGTTGAAATAACAGAAGGACCTTTAGTACGTGGAAGAGTTTTAATAGTCAAGGGTTTAATTCGTCCAAATTAAAAGACGAGGACCAAATATGGAAAATCATGATAGTCGGAGGACCTTTGCTGGAATTAACTCTGTTTCAAATAAGGTGCTTGACTATGTAATTTGTATCACATTTGGTCCTTAACTATTAATATTTTCAAATTAGGTGTATGATTATGTAATTTGTATCACATTTGGTCATGTCGTCCAATTTTCTTGTAAAGTTTCCGGCCCACTATAGACAAAATTTCAATGAAAAAAATAATAGATTCTGGACGAAGTCTCTCTCGCGAAGTCTTTAGTGAGTTTTATACCCCTACGTTTCTAGGGTTTAAGCCGTCTTGGATGGTTTGATCATGGAGTCCGACAATCACAACGACGTAATGATAAGTGCATAATTGTTCATATTTATACCCCATGTCTACCCCATATTTAGCCTTGTTTTGCTTATGAAGTGTCACAATGTTGTTCAAAATGATCTTTATTTTGCTCATTTGATCCATTATGCACAAATCATTATCTTTGAGTAGAAATGAAGGATTTTAGATCATGTTGGATGCATTTGGAGTCAAGGGGAGCCAAGGTGGAGCTAAAGAGATGGATTCAACACTTCCAAAGGAGCCCAAGAGTGATGTTTTCAATGGTGTTGATCATATGGACAAATTAAACCAAGGCAAAAGTGGAACAAGTGTCAACAAGCTGAAATTCTCGCATGGATTGGCCACTGTTATGTTTTCGAGCCATATCTTGGTCTAGGAATGTCCAATTTTAGTGATTATTATTCCATTAGAAAAAAGACTCAAAGGGCTACAATTCTTATGAATACATCAAAGCCTGAAAAGGAAGACACAGGGGTCAAAATTGTCCTTGAAGTTGAAGTTCCAAACTTACAATTCAAAACTGACCACTGTTTGGTTTTTGGACTATATCTCGGCCTAGGAATGTCCAAACGAAGTGATTTTTGCTCCAATAGAAAGAATACTCGAAGGGCTACAATTTTCATGAAGATCATAGTTCCAAATTCTGATGTTTCGAAGGCCAAAAGACACGGCCAAGTACACGGCTGTGTCTGTGGCAGTGTATTTTCTGTGCAATTCCAGTGTTCACTGCTGTTTTTGGACACGGCCAGGGACATGGCCATGTCCCTAGCCGTGTCACTATGCTCTGTCTTTTTTTTTTTAAAGTCCGATTTTGGTCATTTCTTCTTGGTTTTGACTCTTGTTAGAACCCTAGACACTCTCTTTCATTTCCCTTCATATTTTTAGGTTAGATTAGGCTTAGATTTATGTTTCTTAACACTTTTGAAGCTTGTAATCTTGGATTTGGAGCTTGGATTCCAACATTTGAAGATTGTTCTTCCATTTCCAATACATAAGTTCTTCTTCCTTTTATCTCTTTATGTTGCAAGATTTATGTTTTTTTACTTATGCTTTTGTGTTCTTTATGCTATTTAATCATGAGTAGTTAGTTTGTGGACTTGAGTTAGGGTTGTATTATATATCACTACAACAAATCTTTCATTTCCCGACGAAAATTTTAACGACGCTTTAGAAAACGTCGCTAAATATAACAATTTTGCGACGTTATATTAAAAAATATCACTATATATTTTGGTAGAGATAATAATTTTGTTGGGTGATATTTGCTGACGAAATATAATTTTTTTGTCAGTAAAAATATAGAATCAATGACGTTTTATAATAAACGTCCCTAAATATTCTATTTTAAAAATCAATTTTAACATAAAACGTCAGGAAAAGTGAAAATATTTGTGCGGGAAAATTATTTATCCTTTGGCGCCATTAAAATACAATCTCTTTAGAAATTAAAATAAGATGTCTAAAATATCAAACTCTATTGTCGTTCACATCTTGAACGAGTATTTCACACCTCACTACAAACCAAAGCTTTGTCATCCCTCGCCATCTCAGCTCTCTGGTCTCCTCCATCTCAACCTTCCCTCGCCATCTAAGCCACCGTTGAGACGCCTCTGCCCGCCTCCGTTACCGTCGAGTCAGCCAACTCCTCTTCCCATTACCATCGCTCCTCCACAAAAGTTGCCTCTTCCAGCTGCTGCCGCCGTCGAGACAGGACACCCTCTTCCCGTCTTTGCCGTCGTCGACACTCTTCCCGTCGCCTCACTAGTCGACGTCTCCATCGCCGTCACAGGTTAGTCCTCAAATCATAAACCCTAATCCCTAAATTCCTAATTCCATTTATCTCTATCTCATAATTTCATTAAGCCCTAAATCTATATGTTTTTTCTAGTAATTTTATTGTTGAATTTTTCATATTTGAAAGTTGTGAATTAAAAAATTTTCAAAAGTATTCTGTAACTATTTGATGTTATTTGGCAAAGAAAATTTAACAGCTTGGCTATTAATTCATATGATATTTTTTCGTTGTTTATTAAGATTTTTGGTCTTATTATTGTTCTGTAGCTGCAATCTATTATGCATAAGCCTCATAAGTGAAGATGTTTTTGTGTAGATATACTGCTCTCTATTAGCTTTTTTCAGGGTTATAAATGTCTTCAAATGATGTTTTGAATTCGGATACCCCTGGCAACAAAAGGCAAAAGAGATAGGCATATAAAGGAACAATGAAAGATAACTGTAACACCCCAGATTTTCAAGGCATTTAAAACTTATAAAATAAAGGTAATATCTCATTAAATCCCAAAGCGTAACATAAGTGTATGGGGTGCTATGCCACACCCGGGCTAGAGAACCCAGGTGCACCGGCTGTCTAACTACTATTCTTCGAAATATAAATGCATAACATGGCACGCAGGCCGAAAGGGAAGCTACACTACTTCTACGCTCCAGTTCTAGCGCGCTCCAGTGCTCTAATCCTCTGTGCCTGAAAGCCAAATATATCTGTTCAGCGAGAGATGCTGGTAACCCACTCCAACGCGTTGAAATACAATACATATAGAGATATATATAGATATACGAAAACCATTGTGAGCATGAAGATATATCCTACGAACTCTATCTTTTAAAACCGGGAATGACTCGACAGATAAGGTCAGACACAAGCAATAGTTATAACGAGCATATGCAGTTCACAATAGATAAGGCAGATAAGGCAAAGCATAAACAATAATCACAACCCATCATAAACAATCCCCAATATAAATCCCATAGTCACATCCCAAGGCACTCATAATCACAACTCGTCCATATCACACACATAACGCACATTGTTGGCGCCACAGGACCGATCGCATGCCCATACATGAGGGTCAGCGCATATAGCTCTGACACAGCCCTGCAGCACCATGCCCCGCATCGCAACACGGGGAGGTCGATCGCAACCGACCGATGAACCGCAGCTCATCATAATGTTTGATCGCAACCAAACAGTGGACCACAGCCCAAGAGAGTGTCATATGACCGCAGCCAGGATAAAGGACGAACCGCAGCTCGTATAAAAACGTTTGATCGCAACCAAACGGTGGACCGCAGCCCAAGAGAATGTCATCTGACCGCAGCCAGGAATACCAATCTGACCGCAGCCAGCTTCTGAACCGCAGCTCAGGATAACCAATCCGATCGCAACCGAATTGGAGTAGCACACACACATAACACATAGCAAGCACATGCAACCCACGTTACACATTGGGAAGGGGAATAAAGCGTATAACAAACCTATGCGTGATCCATCACATACTAAGAATAGTCCTAAGGGGGTTCATACTTCCTTCACCTAGGTCAACGGGATACCAATTCATCTAGCATGCGATATAACAGACTCATAAACCTACGAACGGTACCCGAAACATCAAACTAGACATAGGCACGACAAACGGGGTCCGTTGGGACACCACGGGGATCGGGGAAACATCAAACGGGGAAGCTGGGGTCCCGAGGTGGGAGAAATTCCAGTGGGTAGCCGGTGGGTGGGGGTCCACCCGCCGGCTGCCCGCCGGCTGACACTGTTCCGGGCAGCGGGTGCCCGGCGGGCAACTGCCCGCCCGCCGGCTGCCCGCTGCCGGAGCTGCCCGAATTGCCGCGGGTAGGTGGTGGGTCCCCTACCCCCCCCCACCTATCCCCCACTGACTCTTTTCATCACTTTTCGCCCCGGGAACCGTTGTGGAACCCGAAACCATGCTTAGACACTTTTCAACGTAATTAACGACAACACATAGACAATTAACGGATCAATTACGATAGACGAACGGCACATAACCTAACATGCTTTTCTAATCATAATCAACACCCAAACATGCGATTTCCCACCCGATAATCCAAGAATAAGATCATACGATACAACCTAGGGTTCTAATCACTTTTATATCCACAAGAATACGATTCGTCTTCTAATTGCAAGATTCGGTAGGAACAACACATATCATCAAGGATAGCAATTAATCATCAAGAACAACATAATCATCAAGAACAACACATCATCATCAAGAATCCCAATTAATCATCAAGAACATCCCAATTATCAATAAACTCCCAATATCAAGATTACCAAGATTCCCCATGGAATCATTAAATCAACATCAATAATAATCATAGTAATTCGCCATTCACAATCATACGGGGGAAACCCTAAGGGGAAATCATAGCTATGAAAATAGGTTTTGTTGAGACATAGGTTACCTCTTAGCCTTAATTAATTCCTTGGCTATGAAGGATCTTTCTTTAAGCTTCTTTGCTTTCTTGATTTCTCCTAAGGGAATTCTTGGAGCTCTTTTTGGGGTGGTGGGCGTTAATCATGTGGGGAGTTCTAGGTGCCTCTTAAGTCCCCTATATATATATATATATATATATATATATATATATATATATATATATATATATATATTTAGGAGTCCTAATTAGGAACTAATATTATAGGCTTGCTAATTCTATTCCTTTTGGAACTAAGGATTGAGTTTAGGGGTTGGGTTTATACATGAGGGCCCATGGACTATGGTGGGCCTTTTTCCCTAATTAATTATAATTTATTCTTTCTCTTGGGTTACTGATTAATTGATTAAATGGTTTTAGGGGCTGTAACACGGGGTGTTACAATAAATCATTTAGTTGATAGTTGGGTTAAGTTTTGGGCATGATGTTCTTTATTTGATAGTTGGGTTTACTTCTTTTATTGATTGATTCCTAGTATAAAACTACTGCATCAGTAATTGCAGAAAAGGAATCTTTTATGATCATTTTCATTTTGGCTGATGAGAACTCACCTAACATAACAATTATTTTTCCTGTCCCTTTTTTGTGCTAGGCTATATGTGGTATACCTGAAGTTGCATTTGCAACCTTTGAAAACATGGAATATGGAGAAGGTCTGTCTCTTCATTTCTCTTATCAGGCTTTTACTTAAACTTCCTCCTCTTTCATGAATTCATGTCCCTCCTTTTCCTAGGTGATTCTTTTCTGCTTCTATTGCTGTATATTTGTTTAACATGTTTGCTTCCTATCTCTCATAATGTGCATGCTTAAATCTAGATTTCATAAGCTAATAACTTGGCTAAGCATTGAACAATGATAGACTTTGTTCCATATGAAGACAACAAATTACACTCTCTAGAGTTACCTAAAGTAAATAATCTTTTTTTCTTTGCCCTGTTACCTAACAGGATTGAAAAGTGATCTGCACACACAAGTACACTACTTCCTTTTAGGGCAGTCCTTAATGCACAACAAATTAAACCCATCCATTCGAATTGTGGTACAGGAAGTTTATCTTATTTGGCCATTGGATGGTCATGGTATAGGATAAAACTATCTTCAATGTCTTTCTTATCACACTCCTGTGAGATAAAGTAATCATAGCCTTAATTTGGGTTTTGACATAGCATTATTACATGCTATTTTGGCTTCTAAAGTATTTGAGCAAAATGCAGATACCAAAGTTACTTTTTATGTAACTTGATTAATGCAGGCCGGACTTCTTGTTTGTCACAAGCTTGTGGCTTGATTACTTCTTATTAGATCAAAACAGTATCCTATTCTTTTGAATTTACCAGTATAAACTTAATATTAGCTTCTTTTTTTTTTTTTTTTTCTTTTTTTTTTTGCAGCTTATATGAAACCTGATACAAAGACTTATAATTGGGTGATCCAAGTATATACAAGGGTTGAGTCTTATGATAGGTCAGTCGCAAAATGTATTTCTCATATTCAAAGTTCTTCCATTTGTAGAGTTAGATGTTATTGTATGCCAGACATTTATAGCCTGTTTACTTGGTGTAAAATAGTGTGCACTATCCATTATTGACTTGACCAAAGTATCCTAAAACATTATACAGGAAAACAATGTTTCACCTGTTGGAGTAAATAAAGTGTTCTCCAGATCAGTGGCAAAGCCACCCCTTTGAACTAGTGGGCCAGTTGACACCACTAGAATTTTAACTGATAGTATATTTTGGATGTGCATAATATATATTTATTTTAGTGTAAATAGAGTTAAAATTTCTAAATACCTCACTGGAAAAATGAAAATTTGATGTTTAGTTGGGTCAAATTGTCCAAATTGCATAGAAAATGATAACTGAGTAAATGATATACGTACTAAGCTACCCAAATAAAAATGAAGGAAAAATTTTAGTCACATAGGGAAACAAATTCTTTCTAAAAGCATCTGAACTTCTGTTTCTACCACAACTACTTAGTCCTAATCCACAATTTATGTGTATTGATATAATCTGGCATGCCTTTTTCAATTGGGGACCTTTAGTTCTCTGCTGGTAGTAATTTGTTTCTATTTATTGAGTTTGTCTGAATCATTTTTGCTCCTGAGTCCTGAATCCACCACCCAAAGGAATAAAGAGTACTACCACCACCCACCACCACCATCATTGTATATTTTAAATATTTAAAATTAAAAATACTTGTACCATAGTTGAATATATAGTTTTGAATAATTTATTATTCATGCTTGAAAATATTTATGTTTTTTAGTGGCAGGGAATTATTGCATATCTAGATGTACTCATCAAATCAGGCCTTCTTCCCAAGACAAAGGACTTCCAAAGTGCCGGCCTCTAAACGTGAGAATTATTACTTATGTGCATAGAATTGTATATATTCCCGTGTCTAGTCAGACCATATTTAAGAATCATTTGTATCACATTACATCCTTGTAATACTATGAAAAATATTCTTCTATTTTGAACATTTAATTGATGCTAAAATATTTTGTTCTCAATTACATGAAGCTGTTGTGTAAACCTTTTTATATACAAGTATATGTAAATTATCATCAATTATTAAAAAAAAATTGTAAATATTCCCAAATATAAAATTTTGCGATGACAACTAATATGAAAAAAAAAACGTCAGTAAATGTACAAACTGTTATTTTGTCATCAATTAATTTTTTAATGACAACATAATAATGTATACAATCATTAGTAAATGTAATTTTATTGACGCATTTCATTTTTCGTCACCAATTAAATTTATTCATGACAAGTATAATTGTATGGAAAACGTCAGTAAAGACACATTTGCTGACGAAATATTTTACTTCGTCACAAACTATTACCGACGTTTTGTTAATATTTCGTTTCAAAAAGTATGTATTCAATGACATTATCAAGACCATACAAAAACGTCAGTAATAGTAATATTTTGTGACAAAAAATTAACTTCGTCAGTAATACCTTTCCATACGCCGCTAACCCGACGGTCCGGGTGACGTTTTTATTTCGTCAGTAAAGAAATTTAGCGACGCATTTTTATTTTTACCGACGTTTAAAAAACGTCGCTAAATGCTAATATTCTTGTAGTGTATCTTGATGCTTGATTTGTGATTATTGCAAAAAAAGGGAAGAATTCCAACTTAGGGTTCATGTGTTTGTGAAGGTTTTGTATTTATATCTTGTTAATGTTTGATGTACACATTCATTAGCTTGTTATTGGAGGATTCCTTGCCTCAACGAGAGTTGGGTGATGAATCCAAGCCACCCCTTGCATAGACCCGATTTCTTCCTACCAAAATAGGAGAAATTGGGGGCTTTAGATGCTTTGTGTGCTTGATGGACTTGGAATTGATTCACCATGAAAGTGGGGCAATTCCTTGTTCTAATCCTTGTTTATTAATCATGAGAATGGTTCGTAGGCTAGGATACCTTTGTGCATTCCCGATTGACTCCTTGGTTACTTGTTCTCCCTAATCCCTTAGGTTGTTAAAGTATCTAGATGATAATGCTCCCTAGCTTGAGTCCTATTTCTTTATTTCGTATTTATCTCTTGTTCGTATGTGTTTTTGGTATTTTGTTTAGTTACCGTTGTCTCATCCTTGTTATAGTTTGCTTAGCTTCTTGTTGATTTCCTTATGCTGGTGCCTAGTTTATTGTGATTGCATATTGCGTGCCATATCTCCCGATCCCCTGAGGACGACATTACACACCCGTACACTCACTTATTTTTGCTACAATAAAAAATTGGCGCCGTTGCCGGGGATTGGCAATTTGGTGGTTCTATGTGATTGCTTGTTTCACTAGCATTAGAGTTTAGAGAATCTTAGGAGCCTAAGCTTTTTCTTTCTTTTTGTTTGTTTTTATTGTTTAAAGAGCTAATTGTTTTACCTTGTTTGAGTTTTGGTTGAAAGATCCATACTTTGTGCATACGCTCTAGATTCAAAAGGGGGAGCTTTTACCACTCAATCAAGAACTTTCACCATGGATGAGTATGCATTCCAAGGAGGATATTATGATTCTCAATCTTATGGGGTAACCAACATGATGGATATGGAGATCCTTGCACAACTCAACCCCCACCTCCTAACCATTGCTATGATGCCCAATCTCAATATTTTTGTCCACCACAATTTCACCCCCAAAACTCATACTCTCAATACACTCCAAACTACCAAAATTCTTACCCACCACAATCCTACCAAGACTCACTTTACCAGACCCCCAATATGCTTCATGTGATCAATACCCTCATATCCAACAAACATCTCCATACTTCACCTACTCTTCTTACCAACCAAACTCACCTCCACCACCCCAAAATCCATACCTTCAAGGCTCATCTCTAAATCATTTTTTCCCACCCACTCAATGCTCACCAAGTGTAAGGAGGAATGGACTAGATGAGGAGACATTAGCATTAGCTAAGCGTTGGGGAGTCACTATTGTACCCGATGGTGACGTTGAGGATGATGGCTATCCCATGAGACCGAGTGAAGAAGAGTATGCCAATAATCAATGGGAACCTCAAGAGCCACTCTATCAAGAACCTCAACAAGAATGCCAACCATTTGATCAAGATCCCGAGATGAGGTTTATGATGGCCAACATGCTTAAGAAAATGAATGAGCAACAAGTTCTACTAGACAACATGATGGCTCAAATACAAGGTTTGACAACTCAAGAACCCGTTCAAGAATTGTCTTCCAATGTAGGTGTTCTACAAGAGTTGCTCTTTCCAAATGAAGGACATGTGGTTGAAGAAAATAAAAAGCGAGGTGAGGACATTGATGGTGAAGATGAAGATGATGAGGTCTATGACGAATGCATTGAGATGGAGACAACAAGTGTGGGAGAGAGTATAGGGTTGCACGGGAATGGTGATAATGAACAACTAAAAGATGGTCCAATTGAAGAAGTGCAAGAAAATGATGGTGTTGAGGAAGAAACAAAAGATGAGAGTGTTGAGGAAGAAGGGGGAGAGAATATGGAAGTTGGTGACAAGGATCACATTGAAAGTTGTCCATTTGGAGCATGTTGAGAATTTTAGAAGAGTTTGGGAATCGGGCGGAGTTAATGGTTTTGAGAGTATTGGCCCACATTGGCCGATATTCATATTTAAGGACTCCAAATTCTTATTGGTGAATGACAAAGTCGCAAGGTTCTCCTTGCTTATTCAAGATGGGAAATGTCAAAAAGAGAAAATGTGTGAAACTAAAGAGAATGATCAAGCTCTTGAGTATTATCATGATCCAAGGTTTAGAAAGAAGACATCATTTGATTTGTGGATTAAAAATGGATTTGATGAAGGGGCATGCTTGAAGTTTGATTTGGATAAGCATTATTTCTTAAACTTTGAAGTGGTGATGTTGAGCCTAAGGGAGCATATTGATGGCCACCACTTGAAGTGCTATTTGGAAGAAAATGTTGAAGAAAAAGAGATGATGATTGAAGAAGAGAGCATATTCTTGGAAGTGGATAATTGCAATTTCTTTGAGGAGAATATGTTACTTTTGAGCTTAAAGGAGTTCCTTAATGCCTGGCATTTAAGGAAATTCATTGAAGAAAAAGTGGATGGAGAAAAGAAACTCATCTTCAACCAATCATGCTTGGATAGTTCCTTGAGAGGTTGAGTCGAGCTAGCGACGTTAAACTTAGCGCTTCATGGGAGGCACCCCATGTTATCTTCCATTTTATTGCACTTTACTTTCTTCTTTATTTTTCTTTACACTTTTATTTGTGATATATTTTGCTTTCACTTGTGCTTTCATGTCTATATGCTCTTGACTCTAGGAATGACACTAAGGAGTATGCTCAATTCCAAGAAGGCTTCATGATGATTCTTTGACACAAGAAGATTTATTAAGGGAGTCTCATCTACCTTCTCTACTTTCTTTAGTTGTGTATAATGCTTTACTTGGTGTAGATAGTAGAGTTTGTGCTCCTTGTGTTTATTGTGCTATCCTTCCCCCATGTTCTTTGTTGTCTTTCACATCGAGGACGATGTAATTTCTAAGTGTGGGGGGAGGACAAAAGTTGGGAAATTTTTGAAAAATTTTTAATCTTTGTGCATAATGTTTGGTAAATTATATTTCCTTGCTTGAAGTTGTGATTACTCCCTCTTTGTTGGTTGGTGGATTGTTTTGGTGGAACTTGTTGCAATTCAACTTGTGATTGATGAGCCAAGGGGTAACTCATAATTGATCTATTCTCTTGCCAATACCCTTGTTAACCACTTAATAATTGAATCAATTCTTGATCTTGTGTGTTATGCATTGCTAGTGAAGGCTTATGTGAGATTCCGGTCATGGTTGTTTTGCTAGAACTTGCCTCATTACTCTCCAAGTGAAATCTAAGTTGCATGTTTTGAAATGATTTAGCTCATTTTTGTTTAGCCCGAGCCTTTCAAGCCTACCCCTTACATATGTTATTACCCCTAGTTGTCCCCGTTGAGCCTTTTGTTTAATTTGTTTAATAAGTGCTAAGCACTTGTCCCTTCTTTGTGTTTGTTTTTCCTTGTGTTAACTCTCATCATTTAACCCTCAAGCCTTAGCCAAAATGTGTCCCTCCACCCTTGAGAGAATAGAACATTTATTCTTTTTCATTAAAGAGATCTTTATTGGAACTTGTTTTATAAGCAATCCTCTTGTTAAACTTGTCTAAGTGTGGGGGTCATGTTTCATAAGTTTGTTTATTGAAAAGAAAAAAAAAAAAAAAAGAGAATGTTGATAAAATTGAGAAAAAAGCCATGAAAAAAAAAGGAGATGAATTGAGAAAAATGAAAAGAAAAGGAGAAGAATAAAAGTTTGAAGTTAGTTTTGAGAGTTGTACTCAACCCCCACCACTTTAGAGGTTTGTTTTGTACGTCCTTTAAGTCTTGTTTGCTCCTTAGTCCATAGAAGTTATATCTCTTCTAGCTCCAATTGTGAATAAATGTGAAGTTCTCTCCTTTGTTTTATTCCAATACCCCTTCATTGTTAGCCATTCACCCTTAGCCCCATTACAAGCCTAATAAAGACCTACTTGATCTTAGCATGCAATCTTGGAGTTGATCTAGTGGGAGTATGAAGGGCAAGCTTATGGAATCTCATTCAAAGCCAAGTTTTGTATAATCTCAACTTAGCATTTGTGCACACTTGATCCTCACGTACTTTAATAATTTTGGTGCTTGGTTATTGGCTTGAGAATTGAACTTGTGTGGAAGGCAAAAAATGATTCTTGAAACAAGTTGTGTTGTACCAAGTTGGATTCTGGTTTGATAGGTTGTGCAAAGTGGGAGTGTGATCAATTTCATTGCTATGGTGGTGATTTATTTCTTGTTTTTGCTTGAGGACAAGCAAAGGTTTAAGTGTGGGGGAGTTGATAAGTGCATAATTCTTCATATTTATACCCCATGTCTTACCCCATATTTAGCCTTGTTTTGCTTATGAAGTGTCACAATGTTGTTCAAAATGATCTTTATTTTGCTCATTTGATCCATTATGCACAAATCATTATCTTTGAGTAGAAATGAAGGATTTTAGATCATGTTGGATGCATTTGGAGTCAAGGGGAGCCAAGGTGGAGCTAAGGAGATGGATGCAACACTTCCAAAGGAGCCCAAGAGTGATGTTTTCAATGGTGTTGATCATATGGACAAATTAAACCAAGGCAAAAGTGGAACAAGTGTCAACAAGCTGAAATTCTCGCATGGATTGGCCACTGTTCCATTGGAAAGAAGACTCAAAGGGCGACAATTCTTATGAATACATCAAAGCCTGAAAAGGAAGCCACAGGGGTCAAAATTGTCCTTGAAGTAGAAGTTCCAAACTTACAATTCAAAACTGACCATTGTTTGGTTTTTGGACTATATCTCGGCCTAGGAATGTCCAAACGAAGTGATTTTTGCTCCAATAGAAAGAATACTCAAAGGGCTACAATTTTCATGAAGATTATAGTTCCAAATTTTGACGTTTCGAAGGCCAAAAGACACGGCCAAGTACACGGCTGTGTCTGTGGCCGTGTATTTTCTGTGCAATTCCAGTGTTCATTGCTGTTTTTGGACACGGCCAGGGACATGGCCATGTCCCTAGCCGTGTCACTGTGCTCTGTCTTTTTTTTTTTTAAGTCCAATTTTGGTCATTTCTTCTTGGTTTTGACTCTTGTTAGAACCCTAGACACTCTCTTTCATTTCCCTTCATATTTTTAGGTTAGATTAGGCTTAGATTTATGTTTCTTAACACTTTTGAAGCTTGTAATCTTGGATTTGGAGCTTGGATTCCAACATTTGAAGATTGTTCTTCCATTTCCAATACATAAGTTCTTCTTCATTTTATCTCTTTATTTTGCAAGATTTATGTTTTTTGCTTATGCTTTTGTATTCTTTATGCTATTTAATCATGAGTAGTTAGTTTGTGGACTTGAGTTAGGGTTGTATTATATATCTTGATGCTTGATTTGTGATTATTGCAATAAAGGGGAAGAATTCCAACCTAGGGTTCATGTGTTTGTGAAGGTTTTGTATTTATATCTTGTTAGTGGTTGATGTACACATTCATTAGCTTGTTTTTGGAAGATTCCTTGCCTCAACGAGAGTTGGGTGATGAATCCAAGCCACCCCTTGCATAGACCCGATTTCTTCCTACCAAAATAGGAGAAATTGGGGGCTTTAGATGCTTTGTGTGCTTGATGGACTTGGAATTGATTCACCACGAAAGTGGGGCAATTCCTTGTTCTAATCCTTGTTTATTAATCATGAGAATGGTTCGTAGACTAGGATAACTTTGTGCATTCCCGATTGACTCCTTGGTTACTTGTTCTGCCTAATCCCTTAGGTTGTTAAAGTATCTAGATGATAATGCTCCCTAGCTTGAGTCCTATTTCTTTATTTCGTATTTATCTCTTGTTCGTATGTGTTTTTGGTATTTTGTTTAGTTACCGTTGTCTCATCCTTGTTATAGTTTGCTTAGCTTCTTGTTGATTTCCTTATGCTGGTGCCTAGTTTATTGTGATTGCATATTGCGTGCCATATCTCCCGATCCCCTGAAGACGACATTACACACCCGTACACTCACTTATTTTTGCTACAATCACGTAACAAACATGTGTGCGAGCCTCACGTTCGCTGACGTTGATGATGATGAAGTTTCGATGCAAATCCCCAATATTAGGATTGCGGAGGAGAATCAGGAAGCACGTTTCTATGCTATGGGAAGGTTAGTAACCAACAAGCAGACAAAATTTGTTTTCTTCCAGGATACGATGGCCGCCGTAGGGCAACCGACAATGGGAGTGACCATGAAACAACTGCAACCACAACATTTTCTGTTTCGTTTTTATAATGAAGCAGACCTCCAACAAATCCTCAATGATGGACCATGGACTTACGAGCAAAGCCTGTTGGTCATGCAGAAGTCTGGACCCGCTGACGATCCAAAAACAGTGCCGCTAAACCATTCTGATTTCTGGATTCAAATACACTCCTTGCCTGCTGGGTTCCGGACTGATGTAATGACATCGGCCATTGGTTCGTTTCTGGGGACTCTGGTGAAGATGGACGACAGGAATTTCGGGGGCTCAATGAGAACTTTCTACCGGGTACGTGTTACGATTGATATTACTAAACCCCTTAAAAAGCAAATGAAACTCAAGAAAGATAATGGATCATGGGCATACGTGGACTTCCGTATGAGAGGTTGCCAACCTTTTGCTTCATATGTGGGAAGATTGGACATGGGGACAGGGTGTGCCCCTGAATTGCCCAGGGCATTGATGTCGAGACCGGAAAGCCTTATGGTTCAGCGCTGAGGGCCGGGAGCCAAAGAATGGCACCTACTACAGGTAGGCGGTGGATTGCGCCGGAAACGGATGTTGAGCGTAAAGAGTGGTTAGCCCGGGGATGTCTGTGGATGACAACACCCAAGCAGGAGGCAGTGTTGAGCCTCTTCTTGTGAGTAATGATATGAAGAGGAAACGGGTAAACACAGGAGATCCGAGTAAGGAGGTTGGGATGGAGTGTGACGGTACACAGCAAAAAAAGGGGGAAACGGCGGGACTTGCAGCACAAGCCCGCCAAGCATTATGATCCTTTTATCATGGAAATGTCGTGGGCTTGGCAACCCATTGGCAATTCGGGTGCTAGCGGATTTGGTCCGCGAGAAGAGGCCGAGAGTAGTTTTTTTAATTGAAACTTTCGTTGATAGCAATCGAATGGAAAATGTGAGAGTAGAGTTGGGTTTTGATAGTGTTTTCACAGTGGATGCGGTGGGGCATAGTGGTGGCCTGGCGTTATTGTGGTTTAATATTGCTAATTTGCAGGTTACTGCTTATAGCAGTAATTATATTGATACAATACTGAGACTTGATGAAGGGTCCCCGCAGTGGCGTTTTACAGGATATTATGGCTACCCGTAAAGGGCACGAAGAAGGGATGCCTGTCATCTGCTGTGTAATCTGGCAAATCAAAGTGAGATGCCATGGGTGGTGATGGGAGATTTCAATGATCTCCTGCATCAATAATCTGAAAAACGAGGGCGAGCACCCCACCCACCATGGTGCATTAGTGGCTTTACTGAAGCAATAGCAGACTGTGGGCTTCAGGATTTACCGTTTAATGGGTATCTGTATACTTGGCATCGGGGACGGGGCACAAACAATATGGTGGAGGAGAAGCTGGACTGGATTATGATGAGTGAAACTTGGCTAAATATGTTTGAAGGGGTTTCGGCATCGTCAGAGGTATGCCCTTACAATAACCATATGCCGTTGCTGCTCACTCCTGTAGTAACAGGGAGAGTGCTGCGACGAAAGCGGTTTCTATTTGATAATATGTGGCTAAGGGAGGAGCGGTACCGCGAAATAGTGTCGCAAAGTTGGGATCGGTCTGTAGGCCGGGATGTTTTCACACGGATAGAATGCTGTGGCCGTTATATTTGGCGTTGGGGCAGGGACAATAACAGAGATTTCCACCATCGCATTGCTAGATGCAGGAAAAGACTGGAATACTTGAATGAACGGCATGATGCCGACAGCATGGTGAGTTATGAGAATACTGAACGAGAGTCGTTAGTTCTGCTTGAGCAGCAACATTCATACTGGAAACAGCGGGCTAAGGAACATTGGTATAAGGGGGGTGACTGCAATAGCAAGTTCTTCCATAACTCGGTAAAATCAAGGCGGAGAAGGAATAAAATCAAGAAGCTTAAAGATGCAGATGGGATTTGGGTTGAGCACGAGGAGGAAATAGGTTGGGTAATGCAGGACTATTTTCAAACTTTGTTTCAGTCTGACCAGGGGAACATGGGCGAGATTCTGGATAATGTAGATGTGCGGATCACGGCTCTTGACAATGTGAAGTTGTTGCCACCGGTCAGTTGGGACGAAGTTCGCGAAGCTGTGTTTCAGATGCACCTGGATAAATCACCGGGGCTGGATGGGTTGGGAGCGGGCTTCTTCCAAAGCTATTGGGACATTGTGGGGGATGCGGTATCTAATTTTTGTAAAGGTTTCATGCAGACGGCTGAGCTACCTGGGACAGCCAATAACACCTATATTGTCTTGATACCCAAGAAGGTGGTTCCGGAGTCCATGAAGGACCTGAGGCCAATAGCGTTGTGCAACGTGGTCTATAAAATAGCAGCAAAAGTTTGTGCAAACAGACTGAAATCTCTTCTGGACCGGATCATCTCGCCCGCCCAGAGTGCGTTTGTACCGGGCAGATTAATTTCTGACAATTTAATACTGGCCTACGAGGCCCATCACTTTTTGTGCAGGAAAACACAAGGACGAGAAGGTGTGGTCGCGATAAAGGTGGATATGAGTAAGGACTACGACCGGGTAGAGTGGGGTTTTCTTGAGGCGTTAATGGGCAAGATGGGCTTTTCACAACAGTGGGTTGATGTGCTAATGAGGACGGTTAGATCAGTGAAGTATCATATATTGCATGAACAACGACTGATAGGGCCCATCATTCCGGGCTGCGGATTACGCCAGGGTGACCTGCTGTCGCCATATCTTTTCCTTTTAATTGCAGAAGGGCTGAGTGTCTTAATAGAGAGATACATGTCCTTAGGACGGTTACATGGAATCTGCGTAGCGCGGGGCGCACCACCGATATCACATCTACTGTTCGCGGACGATTGTTTTTTGTTCCTAGGGGCGAATGCCCAAGAAACCCGGGCAATGAAAGATGTTTTAGATATCTACTCCATTGCTTCAGGTCAGAGGATAAATTATGACAAATCAATTGTGCATTTCAGTTCTAATGTAAACTAGCCTACCCGGGAAGCTGTGACGGGTTTACTAGGGGTGACGGAGGGGGATACAACGGGGAGATACTTGGGGTTGCCCTCGTTGGTGGGGAGGAGGAAAACACAAATCCTCGAGTTTCTAAAAGAGAGAATTTTAGCAAGAATTAGGAGTTGGAACGCGAAGTTTCTATCCAGGGCTGGGCGAGAGGTACTCTTAAAGAATGTTGTGTAGGCGATGCTGGCTTATGCGATGATGGTGTTTATGTTACCCACAGGTCTGTGCAGAAATATAGAAACACTGATGAATGAGTATTGGTGGACTGGCAAAATTGGAAATGGCAAGGGTCTACGTGGCGTTCTTGGTCCAACCAATCGGCCCCGAAAGCTGCAGGGGGGATGGGTTTCCGGACGTTGCACGAAATGAACTTGGCACTGCTTGGTAAGCAAGCGTGGAGGTTGATTACAAAGCCTAATTCTTTGGTGTCGAGGATCTACAAGGCTCGGTACTTTCCTAATTGTGTTTTCTTTGATGCAGTAGCAGGCAGTAACCCGTCCTTTATTTGGCGGGGTTTGCTTGGAGTCCAGCATATTATGCGAGATGGCTGTAGGCACAGTATAGGGAGTGGTGTTGATACAGTAATAGGGAAGCATGCATGGTTACCAGTACCTGATGAACCATTCATTACGACCTCGGTAGCACAAGCTGTTTATGAAGCCCCGGTGGCTTTCCTTTTCAACCACCAAGGTACTGGATGGGATGTAGCCCGAGTCAAGAATAATTTTAATACACGGGATGCAAATCTGATTTTGAATGTGCGGGTTTCGGTTAGGCAGCCTCATGACGCGTGGTACTGGTATTGGGATCACAAAGGTGTTTATACTGTCAAGACTTGCTATAACCGTTTGAAAGGTGAGTTGCTAGATACCCGGTCGTGGACTTGTTTGTGGAATTTAAAACTGCCGCCCAGGGTTAAATTGTTTGCCTGGTAGTTAGCTTCATCTTTTTTGCCAACCAGGGATGCCCTACAAGTTAAGAATATTTATTGTGCTCAAATTTGTCATATGTGCAGGGTGGTGCCCGAGAGTTCCTTTCATATTTTTGCCCAATGCCCGGAGGCCGATAGAGTGTGGAGTTCGTTGGGCATATTAGCAGCACCTGCAAATCATGGTAATGTTGTAGATTGGTTTTTTGGGATTATAATGTTGCTAAGGGGCGAGAGTCTGGCAAAATTTGTGATGGGCTGTTGGGGTATCTGGCAGAGCCGGAATGATAATGTTTTGCATGGAGTGCTCTATGACATGCATGTAATGTTGAGGCGTGCTACTGGTTTTTACCGTAACTGGTTTCATGCTAATGAAAAGCAGCATGCAGATATTGCTACTGGAGCTGTGGAGCGCTGGACCAGGCCTGCGCAGGGGTGATTAAAATTGAACATGGATGCTTCAATTCACGCTACAGATAATGCAATGGGCTTAGCTTGGGTGTTACGAGATCATACAGAGTTTTTTTTTGCTGCAAAAAACTTGCATTTAGATGGTGTATATACAGTTAATGAAGCGGAGGCAATCGCCATGAGAGAAACACTAAGCTGGTTGAAGAACACAGGCATGAGAGGGGTTGATGTGGAAATGGATTCACAATCAGTGTTTCATGCGATTTCTTACCCTTCTTTTTATTCAGCTTTTGGGGTTTTGATAGATGATGTAAAAGAAATGGCGTCCTTGATTCATGATGTGCAATTCTATTTTGTAAAACGACCTGCGAACTGTGCCGCCCACACTCTTGCTAGGGAGGCCTGTTCTGTGTCAGGTTATGGGGAGTGGTTTGACACTCCACCAGCTCTTCTTGTGAGCTGCCTCTTTCGAGATTTAATGAATTAAGTTATCTTTTTCAAAAAAAAATAATAATAATAATAAAAAATTAAAAGAGTATTTTCGGCCAACTATAGCCGAAAAAATTATTTTTCTCGTTGAAATTTCGACAATAATTAACCTGAAAATTGGACGGTAAGACCAAAATGTGATACAAATTACAAAGACATGTACCTAATTTGAAAATATTAATAGTCAAATGACCAAATGTGATACAAATTACATAGTCATGCACCTAATTTGAAAATATTAATAATTAAGGACTAAATTAAATACATGTACAATAGTTAGAGATGACCACGATTCCGGTTCGAACCGGAACCATGACTGTGCAAACCGGAACCGAACCGAAACCGTCTGTATGGTTCCGGTTAAGGTTTGTAAAATCTTGAAACCGGAACCGACGGTTCCGGTTCAAAACCGAAAAAAATTAAATATTATAGTGTTTTTTTTTAATAATTCCGGTTCTGAACCGGAACCGGAACCTTACTATAAGGTTTCAGTTCTGGTTTCGCCATCCACGGAACCGAAACCGGCGATTCTGAACCGGAACCGGAACCGTGGTCACCCCTAACAATAGTAAGGGATTAAAAGTGAAAATTTTCTTATTTATATTCTAATTTGAGTATTATTTCTTAATTTAGACATACTAAAGAAGTACATAAATTGTTTCTACTTTACCTTAGACTCTAAAAAGAGAATCGCAATCTCTAGCCACTCGCTTGGGCAAGTTGATACTCGCAATATTATTATTATTATTATTATTATTATTATTATTATTATTAAAGTTACTGTACTCCAAGTAGAAATTTTATGGCTTTATCTTACAAATTACAATACAATATTGTACGATGTTATAAAAGCTCTAGTTTAATTAATATGTTGCAAATCTAACTTTATTTATAAAATGAAAGAGTTAATAGATTTATAATACTTTTAAAATTTAAAATATAATATTGTATAGTATGACACTAATAAAAAATTCAAATTTTTATACAGCATGCATTTTATAAGAATATACATAAGAGAGAGAGAGAGCATTTATATGCATATGTATATGAAACGGACCTTTCTCTTTCTTCTTGTGTATATATATATATATATATATATATATATATATATATATATATATATATAGCCTCATGTTAGCTCTATGCATCTATCCATGGAGCTTGAACCTTCTTGGAGGTTGAGGCCCTTTGAAGAAAACCATCTCTCCTCCTTCTTCTTCTTCTTCATCATCATCACTGCCTTTTTCCTTCTTCTCCTCTTCTATCTCTTGAGGATAAAGCTATGGTGTGATTGCCATGTCTGCAATGCATACATCAACTCAACCTGGAAATCCCAGTTCACCAATTTGGCCGACTGGTACACTCATCTTCTCCGATCGTCTCCCACCGGAACCATTCACATCCATGTTCTCCGCAACACCGTCACCGCCAACCCGGATAATGTAGAGTATATGCTCAAGACCCGGTTCGAGAATTTCCCCAAAGGGAAGGCGTTTTCCGCCATCTTGGGTGATTTTCTGGGCCGCGGGATTTTCAACGTCGACGGCGATTCATGGCTGTTCCAGCGGAAGATGGCCAGCCTCCAGCTGGGGAGCTCGTCGATACGCTCGTATGCCTTTGACGTCGTTCAATCGGAGATCGACCGCCGCCTTCTTCCGCTCCTGGCGTCGAATGACGGCGCCGTTCTTGACTTACAGGACGTTTTCCGGCGATTCGCGTTTGATAGCATCTGTAGATTCTCCTTTGGGCTGGACCCCAAGTGCCTGGAGTCTCTGCTGGCTATGCCGGAATTCGCCGCCTCGTTCGACTCCGCTTCGAAGCTGACAGCGGAGCGGGCCATGGCGCCGGCGCCGATCGTGTGGAAGCTGAAGAGGATCTTGAACATCGGCGGCGAGAAGGAACTGAAAAAGGCTATCAAGACGATCAATGTATTAGCGACGGAAGTGATCCGTCAAAAGCGAAAACTGCGCTTCTCCAATCACAAAGACCTTCTGTCGAGATTCATGGGCAGCATTAGCGACGAAATCTACCTGAGAGACATCGTGATCAGCTTTCTCCTCGCCGGGCGCGACACGGTGGCGGCCGCCCTGACCAGCTTCTTCTGGCTGGCGGCAAACCACCCGGAGGTTCCCGACGCCATTCTCGCCGAATTCGATTCCGTTCTGGGACCGAACAAGAACCCCACTAAGTGCGAACACCTCGGAGATCTCCATTACCTTCAAGCGGCGGTGTACGAAAGCATGAGACTCTTCCCGCCCATTCAATTCGACTCAAAGTTCTGCCAGGAAGACGACGTCTTGCCGGACGGGACGGTGGTGAAGAAGGGGACGAGGGTGACATATCACCCATATGCAATGGGGAGAATGGAGGAGATATGGGGTTCAGATTGCTTGGAGTTCAAGCCAGAGAGGTGGCTTAACAATGGCGTTTTCTTCCAAGAAAACCCTTTCAAGTACCCGGTTTTCCAAGGCGGACTCAGAGTGTGTCTGGGAAAAGAAATGGCGGTTCTGGAGGTGAGGACGGTGGTTCTCTCGCTTCTCCGCCGCTTCCGTATCCAATTGGCTCAGCCTCACCGCTCCCCGCCTCGATTCTCTCCCGGCCTCACCGCCTCCTTTTACGGCGGTCTGCCGGTTTTGGTGCGGGAAAGACGTGGCTCTTCTGCCGGCGTTAATTAACTAGTAGCCATATATAATATATATATATAATATAATAATATAACATAATAATTAATTTATTTTTCAGTTTTTAGTAAAGATTTAATTTGGGTGATCCATGCAGCATCAGAACCAAAACTGTTGGCTGGCTTTCATTATTACAATTAAATGGTCTTTCGTTCCGTGACCAATTTTTATTTTATTTTTATTTGAATTTGAATTGTACAAAATATTGGCCTGGCCTGCTAAGGTGATGATTTTTCGACCCTTCCACGTGCGTGGCGCCAATAGACACGTTGTAGTATACCCAAGAGCCAGTTTGCCCTGCCTAGTGCCTACCTTTAATTCCACCCAATAATATCTACCTACATTTATTTATTTATTTATTATTATTATGGAAGATCATATGACAAACGAAATATAACCTTAAAAATACGAACATACTTCCGAACCTTAGAAAAATGAAAAAACTTTCTCCCAAAAAATGTTGAATGTCCAACCTTAGGATCCCTACACTCTGACTGGACAGAGCATATAGGAGGAAGTAAATCATGATTAATGGTGATGCACACAATGAATTTGTCCCCTTTGAGAAAAATGAACAAACTTGTCCAAAGACTTAGCATAGTTAGTTCATCTTGATTTAAAAGTCATGAATATAGGTGACAATATGGGGTTCAAATCCCACTAGAAACATATATGAAAAATGCTGAAAAGTCTGGATTGAATCCCTTGTGCATACATGATGAAGACTAGGATAAGACAAGTGAGCTGATTGCGCAACTCGCAATTTACCTCCGCGATAATTTTAGCGGTGGGGTCCTGTGGACTTAGGATTAATCCGACTTAGCATCAACTAAGTTATTATAAAAAAAAAAAAAAATGAACAAACTTCTCTAAAAATAGTATCAATTCCATACGTTACCAATTTATCAATAACATAATATTACACGAATCTTATAAAATAGCTACTTTGTAGTTTGTTCATTCGATTTAATACCATCTGAGGTCCTCCGAGTATAGTGATTTTGCAATGTTTAGTCCTAAACTTTCAAATTGACCATATGTGGTCCTTCGACTTTCAAATTTAACCATTCATGGTCAAAGTTAACCACCCATGGTCCTTCAACTATTAAATTTTAACCAACCATGGTCCTTTCAAGAGGACCACGACTGGTTAAATTTCAAAACTTGAAGGACCATGGGTGGTTAACTTGGATCACAAATGGTTAAATTTGAAAGTCGAAGGACCACATATGGTCAATTTGAAAGTTTAGGACTAAACGTGGAAAAATCACTATATATACTCGGAGGACCTTAGATGGTATTAACTCTTGTTCATTCATATCACGACAATTATTAATTTCTTTTTTACAGACGGAACTGTTAAAATAGATTTAACTTGACAGTCCGATTTGTTTCGTTATATAATAGGCAAATTTTACTATCGACCATGGTCCATGTAGCACCATAAACCATAAAGTAAGTATCATTCTAATTTTCTTTAGTTTCGTTTGATAATATTGTTTTGTTTTTAGTTTAATTTTTAACACAATAGTTTCATTATAGCAATACCAAAACATCATTTTAATTCTATTACAATTTCATTTGACAATATACATTATTGCATGACTTTAGTTTCGTACACATTAGTTTCATTTTTCATACACACAATTTAATTATCGTAATGTTGAAATATTATTTTAATTACACTTCAAGTTTATTTGACAATATATATTATTGTATGACTTGGATTTAAGTTTCATTTTCCACACACACTAGCTAGTTTCATTATAGCAATACTGAAGTATCATTTTAATTATACTACAATTTTATTTGACAATATACATTATTAAATGTGCTCTTTTTTTAGTTTCATTTTCTACACACACTAGTTTCATTATAGTAACTGACAAGATAATTGGACAATGTACTGGGTCCGACCCGGTGCGTCTAACGCATCAAAGCAGTTAAACAACGGTCATGAGCAGAGAACAAGTGGAACGATTACAAGAGCCCAAGCATTAAGACTACCGCCTCATCAAAGATAGGAGTTATGGATGGCAGCGTCACTTTTTTTTTTTTTTTTGAAAGGGCATCGTCACTTATTAGGAGGCCGTTGTTATCATTATTGTAACCATTAAAGGTTTATAGTATAAAGGTTGACCCCATGTAGTAAGAGGAGAACACACTTTGTTTATTGTACACGAACCATAACAATACAATTGTTTTTGTTTACTAATACATAAATATATCCGGTAAACACTATTAACGTCATTGGTGGTCTCGTTGAGAGCCTGAGATCAACTCAAGCAGGTTACAACATACATCTTTTAATCCCATC